TATTTATAATGTAATATAATATATTTTATTTATTAAAATTTAATTGTTCATAAAAATAGTAGTTGCTACCACACGCAGAACAAGGAGAACTATTTCTATGGCTTCGATTTGCTCCTCTCTGCATTCAACTCTAAACAAAAACTGAGCAACTTTTTATTTGTGAATAGGTATTCATTTAATTTAAGTTTCGTGTAGTAGTAGCAGCACTACTATTTTAATGAACCACACTGTATTTAGTTTATATATATGAATTGGATGTATGTGCGGACGATTATAAATTATGCACGCGGCAGGCAGCGGGCCCTGGGCTAAGAGGCGTTTTGTTGTCCTTGCCATACAAAGGCAATTGTATAATTGCGTTCTAATATGATGACTGCGGCACATTCCAAGCGGCAGCTAGCAGCAAGTCGACTGCCTGATGCGCTTGCTGAATATTGGACAATATGAATGCTAAGCACCGAGCACAGAGCACCGAGCTGCATATAGATATAGCCCAGTCTTAGTCTTCGTCTATGACTTGATACCAGAGCTTGAGCTTTGATAAAGTCAATGAGCCTGTTGGCTACACTACTGTCGAAAAGTCTATGTGCGCGGCAATTGTTTTGCATAAATTGCTGGCGTTTTAATTAAATGCCAACGAAGTGAGACAAATGCTGCAGCTGCAGCTGCAGCGACTCGACGACTTTCACTCTGCTCGTCCGACAGACCGTTCGTACGTCTGTCTGTCTGTCTGTCTGTCTGCCGGCTTTTGGTGCAAACGCCTTTGTGTCTGGCCGTTAAGCTAGCTGGCTGCATAAATGCAAGCAGCAATTATTTATGATGCCCATGAACTTTTGATTACGCATCGCTCCACTGTGCAGTTCGTATGCCGTTTTATGGCAACGCTTGCAGGTGCAACGACACAACTGCAACAGGAACTGCCACAGTCATGTCTAAATTAATGCCTGCAATTAAAATGCTTAACACTCGTTGCCTGATCGAGTCAAGTCTGAGCCCTGTCGCCTGACCAGCTGCTGGTTTTACAGTTGGCCAACTGCTGTCAACAGCTTGCGGCTAGTCTAAGTAGCTCCAGCCAGCAGGCCTCGGCCACAAAATCATCTTCTTTGCTGCCCGCCTCATAATCCCCATTCAGACATTACCCAACACTCTCTGTCTCTCTCTCTCTCTCTCTCTCTCTCTCTCTCTATCGCTCGACTGGACTTACATTGTCTGCCTGTTGAAATGTTGGCAATGGCTCGATTCTCTGCTCAATTGCAATTTGCTTGCTTTTGGCTTATTTGGTTTATTAAATGCGTTTTTCTTGCACTGGCTCTGCCGTCCACTCTAAATCATTATCAAGCGAATGCCGACTGATTTGCCAGTCGTTCAGCTGACTCTAGTGTAATTCGCCAAAATAAACATAGGAGCTGTTGCCACATTTTGCACACATGCTAAAGCACTTGCTCTGGCTTAAGCAAATTCATTCAAATGCGGAATTACAATTGCTTTTATTATGAATTTAAGAAGTGCGCACGCAGCCAAGCGTTAAGCTGTCAGAAACTCTAGCTGCCTGCCTGCCATTCATTGCCTCTCCCACTCTCCCACTCTCCCTCTCTCTCTCTCTCTCTCACTTAACTCTTTTGTGCTGCGATTGTCCACTGTATATTCGATTTACATGCACACAAAAAAAGAGAATAGCTCGCTCGCCTGGCCAACACACGCGCACACAAAAGCATTGCCTACTTTTAGGCAGCTGCAATTTAATTACCGTTGCAAAGATACAGATACACAGATGTCCATGCATCCAATTGCCAGCCAAACAACAGTCAGCCTTCACTCAACTCACTCTCAACCCCTGCCCCGCCCTCCCCTCCCTTGCCGCCATCGTTGTTGAAACATAGCCGTGGCTGGCTGCCCTGCATCGACAGCAGCTACCCTGGAATTTAAAAGCAGCTTGGGCTATGCTCACTTATGATTGAATCTGTTGATTGCTTGCTTATGACAATTGCTTCTGGAGAGATATTCTCTCCATATGTCATTCGAGGTGTTGGCTTTGCTCTTTAGTTCGAGAGTCTTTACTACAGCTCAACTCTGGGTCGACTCACGTTAGCTGGTCATTATTTTTACCGTTATTTATGCTGCTGCTGCTGTTGCCACTGCTGTTGTTGTCATGATTATTGTGCAAATAAAAGGAAAATCGCATAAAATAATTTTTTTATACTATGCCAGCGCCGTTGCCCCGACAACACGTTGAGTGCCACGGCGCTCTAACAAAAGCTCCAACCGCTGCCGCACACCCACGCACACAGAGTGAGAATGATGGGGGAGGGGGGCAACAAATGCTGCTCACTTCGCACGCTTCGCTTAACTAATTAGGGTGTGTGAGGAAATGACGTGCGACTCGCTGCTGATGCTGCAGCTACAGCTGCAGCTGCAACTGATGTTGGTTGCTGGCGCTAATTCAGTGCGGCTTGCCGCCTGGTTGGGTGGCCCATTCACTCGTGCGCTGTCAGCACAGATTTACCGTTTGGCATTGTGTCTGAATTATGTATAATTACATTTCAACATTATTCACGGTTTAAGCCAAACTGAGCAGCTGCGGGCAAAAGGATTGCGCCAAGCACTCGCATCTCTCTGGCTCAACTAACAGCCAAAAGCAGCTAGCAAAGAGCGCATCCCGCCTAACCATAGCCCGCCCACATGCTGCACTCGCCTGCCCCAAAAAGTAGTTTTTGCAATTTCAATTTGATTAACGATTTCTTTACATTTGCGCAATAATAATTATTTTGATCTGCCTGAGGCGCAGCGGCTGTGGCAGCAGCGGCGACAGCAACATTTGGACAGCGCTCATGAATGTAAATACTTAAACCCATGTGTGAGTGTGTGTGTGTATATGTGGTGTGTGTGTCTCTGTTTACAGTTTCAATCTCGTTATATGCGCTTGCTCATAAAGTAAATATCAATTACAGCGCCATCTCGCTCGGTCGCTGCTTTGTCGCTTTCGCGTTTCGCTTCATTTTTTATGATTTTTGTCTTTGTGCTGTTTTGTTATTGTTGATTTTATTTATTTATTTTGTCCACATTTATGTCGCAGGACACGAGGCAATTTATGGCCGCGACAAGGCGCGCCGCGGGCATATCAACTGCGCCAACGCGCTTGGCTGCGCAAAGCACTTAATGCGAAGCGGAATTAACCGTAATAATGATCATTAAAAATAAATTAAAATTAAAAAAGCACACGAAGAGAACAAAATAAATATATAAAAAATTAATAAAGTGCAATTAATAATTATGAAATAAAAATTAAAAATATTAATTACTTCAAACCTAACGAAATTAGGTCACATTTTTTTATACATATAAAAGAATATAAATAAATAAATAATACGCTTATATTTATATTAAAAAAATGTTGGTTTTTTTAAGCAGTAGAAAGCTAATTGCCAAAAAAAATGATGTGCTAAAAAATGTAACGAAAAATTGAGAAACTTCTTGTAGAAAAAGTTCCAATTATATATATTTTTATTGTAATAGAAATTATTTATATTTATGATTTTAATATTTATTAAAATGAAAAAATATGTTCGATTATAGAATTTATATTTGAATATATCTTTTTATTCATTTCGAGCGATTGCACTATAAATGCGAAAATTAAATGGGCTTGGGAAATATAAGAAAATTGTTAAAAAAAAATAAATTTAAAAAAATGTTTACATGTATGTATATATATATATACATATCTAATCTGTTTAAGTGTCTAAGGCTGCATTGCGCGAATTCTGCAAGGATTGTTGGCATATATAGGGACTGTATGTATTTGTTAAGGTCTCTATGTGTTTACTACTACCTCAACAGTCTCGATTCCCATAAGAAAAACTAAAATTAATATGAAAAATAAATAAATAAAAGTAAATTTAAATATAAGCAATACAAAGAAATTTAATAATAATCATAAATTTCAATGCATGCAAGACATTAAATAATAAAGCAAAATAAAAAGATTGTAGAATGAAATTGTATCTATAAAAATAAATATAAAGTCGAATATAAAATAAATAATATTTAAATAGAATGTGAAATATCAATTTAAAAATAAATTAAAATTGCAAATCAATTAAAATATATGCAAAACGAAATCAATAGAATATATATACACAAATTTATAAGAGTATATTTGAGTTTGTCAGTAATTTAAAAAATTAATAAGTAAATAATATACAACATAAATTAAATACAACATTATTATAAGAAAAATATATAAAAATATGTACGATCAAAAAAAAAATAAATTGAAATATATAAGTTTATTAAATTATATAAAAATAGTAATAGTAAAAATAGTAACATAAAAGAGTACAAAGAAGCTTAATTAAAAAACTAAAATAAAATTTATAAACTTTAACAAAAGTTCAAATCAATGTATTAAAACATTAAATAACTTAAAACGAAATATATATAAAATAGTTTTAAATATTACATATAGAAATGTAAATGTAAAATTATAAAAATTGATTAAAAAAGAGAAATAATTCTGAGTGTAATGTAATCAAGTTCATAGATCGTTTGGCGCTGTGCAGAACGCATGAGAAATGTTTCATTTGTTGTTTCAATTTTCGATTTTTTCTACTGTGCTGTTGCTGCTTCGTTATTTGTTGAATTAATTAAAATTCAATAATAAAATTGTTAAATGCAAAGCTGAATTAATGCAGCGCGCGCAACGCTGAGAAATGTTTAATAGCATAAATAAATAAAAAGAAGCACAACTGGTGCGCGATTTCTGCTTGTTTATAAATATAATTAATAAATATATATACACACACGCACACTCAGTTAAACGTGTCACAGGCGAAGAAAAAACATGGAATTGCATATTTTATTTTGATCTTGGTTCATAAATTCGTGAATAGAGTTGATTAAAGTTCAATTGAGAGTAAAATTTCAATGTTCAAGCTTCAACGTAAATGAACAAAAAAAGTTGAAGTCAAATAATTACAAAGATTAAAAACAAAATGAAAATAATTTGATCAAATTGCGCTTTAGAGAAAGTTATTTCCAAAGATTTCATATTGTATGAGCTGGGCGAATAGTTCAGCGACTTGAACAAACTCCTCCAGCTGCTGCTGATAGACCGACCAGTTCGAGTGCCATTCTGCATCGAAATCGGCTGGCTGTTGGCCATCGGCCGATGGCAGCGGCAGCTGCAAAGTCGAGTTGGCCAAGAGCAGCAGGCTTCTTTGAAGCAGCTGCCAAATGCGAGCTAGTTGATCGACGCGCAGCTCGGAGAGCATCAGGAAACGGTGCACCGTTGGCCAGTCGCTGCACAATGAGCTCAAGTCTATCATGGGCGCGGCCCGTGGATCGGGCATGGGCTGAGCTGCCGGCTCGGCCATACCCTCACGTATTGCCTCAATGGCCTGATTGATCACCTCGTCTGGCATGGGAGCAGTGTAGGGCTCAAGTATGCAACCGGATGGCTGAGCAGCATGCTGACGATTGCCCAGAGTCTCGACATCTATATCTTCGTCAACATCGACATCGCCATCGGTCTCATCTGCAGCTTCTGCCTGACTCTCATCCAGCTCGCTGGGCGAGCTCAAGTCGTAGACCTCCAGCTCGCTGGAGCGTGTGCTCGAAATACTCATCACACTTAGCTCCAAGTCTTCGCTCTCAATGTCCACATCAATGTCAAAGCTAAGTGAATGCATAGACATAGAAAATTGCTCGTGCGATGACAACTTGCCCGCTTACCGCTCAGTGGCGTTGCCAGACTGTTCACCAATACCACTGGCGCTCATGCGCACGCCAGCCTCAGCTGCCGGCTGCTGATCGACGCCTTCGCTATTGCTATTGATCGAATTGGATCGAGTTGGATGCAGATTCAGTTAGACTTTTGGCTCAGCCAAGGACACTTACCTCCACAGCTTATCGTGCTCTGCCATAGTTTTGGAATTAAGTTTCTCACTCTGCTTGTTGTTATAGTTTGCGCAGGCCTTTTCCTTGCACTTAGACAGCACGTGTAATCAAGTCGCTGCAATATCCAAGTGTTGCCCAGCCAATTTTCAAGCTTTCAAACACAAACGTTGTGCAACACTAACAGAGCGCTAATGTTATGAAGCGAAAATATTGAGACTAGAAAACAAATGACAGCTACAATCGGCCTACTATTTGTTTGCCTATCGATTACGCCTTTGCAGTGTTGAACAATTTTTCAATTAATAGTATTTGAAAACACGTAAATTTCTCACAATAATTAAATTATAGACAATAAGATTATGTGTAATACAAAGAGAGAACCAGAGACAGATTGAATGCATTTGCTGCAACCTGCATCCAGCTGCATTCAACTTCATACAGAAAAAATGGGCCGACCCCGGCAGCAACTGTGGGTCAAGTCAAATTGGAGACTATAGCAAGGCCAATGTGCAACATCAAAGATGGATTTGGCGCAGAGTCTGCGACTAAGCCGACCACGTTTGACAGTACTCAGCTTAGAGCAAGTGGAAGGTCCTCAACGTAAAGGTAAATGCGGAATAAGTCCCGATTTCAAGGGAAAAGGCAGGCCAATAGAAATTGGGCTCTGCATTCAGTAAGCTCTTCTAGGCTTTCCTAAGCGAGACCTGACTCAAATACAAAGAAAAATCTCGAGTGTTGTAAATAACACTGCCAAAAAACTAGCAATTAGCAAAGCAACAGAATGCATACATACATACAGATCTGCATACATACATTCATACATTCATATATTCATACATTCATACATTCATACATTCAAGCATTCATACATTCATGCATTCATACATTCATGCATTCATACATTCATACATTCATACATTCATACATTCATACATTCATACATTCATACATTCATACATACATACATTCATACATTCATACATTCAAGCATTCATACATTCATGCATTCATACATTCATGCATTCATACATTCATACATTCATACATTCATACATTCATACATTCATACATTCATACATTCATACATTCATACATTCATACATTCATACATTCATACATTCATACATACATACATACATATATACATATATACATACATTCATACATTCATACATTCATACATTCATACATTCATACATTCATACATTCATACATTCATACATTCATACATTCATACATACATATATACATACATACATACATACATACATACACATACCTACATCCATTCATACATTCATACATTCATACCTACATACATACATACATACATACATACATACATACATACATACATACATACATACCTACATGGTACATACATTCATAAAGCATGCACACAGATTTATGTTCCCTCTTCTTCTTCCTCCTTTTGACAACGCATTGCTGCTGTCAGCCACTTTTAACTGTAGTTTTTTGGGCGCAGCACTGCCCGCAGTCCGCGCCTGTAAGGCGCCCCTATTCGTGCTGCTGTCGTCAATTCTTGGCGGACATCATAAATGGGCTTGGCAGCAGCGTGTGTTGTCTTAGCCAACACTGGCCGGGCCTATGGCGCTGTGATGCTGCTAATGTTATCGAGAAGCGGCTGGAAATTGGATGGAGAATAATCGCTTTAAAGAGCTTATTTCGATAGAATTTTCCGAGCGAATTGTTCAAATTGCAATTAAAAATGCAATATGCATAAATGTTTAATGATGGCCAAGCAGCAACGGCAACAGCAACAGCAACGACAGAAGCGGCAGCAACAACAGCAAATAACAAATAGGAAATTTAATTAAATTTTACAATGAGTTTGCGGCACTTCTTCGCTTGGCACTGTCGCCCGCCAAAATTGACATAATGACCAAATAATTTTCCAGTTGGCTGCGTCTTAATGGCCATGTGGGAGCTGTGGCAGTGGCAGGTGGGGGTATATGGAATTTCAATTTGGCACTCGTTTGACAGGCGATGCCATCGAGCGCCACATTAAATGCAAATGCTCATTATCAATTTGTAAATTTATTATGAATGTCAGCATTAATTTGACGCGAAAATCTATGCCTGACACATGTCACGTGACCAGGCCAATTAATCAAGCGAATGCTGCAATCGACTGACCGACCGACCGACCGACCGACCGGCACAAAGGTAATTTGGCACTTAAAAAGGGTAAACAAGACTCGACCAAATCGTACCTTCTTCACAGCTCTTTGAAGGCCGCCAAATGTGACGCGTCTGTCCCATCGGACCGAAGTCCATTTATCATCCGATTGACTAGATAATTGACTGTTCGACACTGTTCGCCAAGACACCAACTTGTCCCGCTGCTCTTTAATAGCCTGCGTTGCTACGCACCATCATTCATGTCTGGAGCCTCAAGCCTCCAGCCAAGCCTCGTGCTGGGCCATAAAAATGATTTGGAAAAATTGAAAAAATAAATAGTTCTAAAACAAGATTTCTTCACTTTATATTTATATATATATTATTTAATTTAATTATTGAAAGTCCATTTCCACCTCAGCGCTGCTGTTGCATGCCTCAGCTGCAGCCTGGATGCGACAAGTACATTTAGTGTTTGGCGTTTCCTGTTTTGTTTGCGCCATAAATTGGCTGGGAATACAAATGGAAGTCGGCGGGCGGATGAAGCGGCCATGGTCAGGAGTCAACAGTCGAAAATATGGCAGGACACGAGCATTAGACAAAGCACGGACAGTATATAAAAATATTATTGATTGGCATGCTGCAGGGGTGGGTTGATGGGGGAGGCGCCTATTAGCAGGCGGGCGGATGGAACGCATGCTATAAAGCCATAAACGCCAAGCCATAAATTATGCTAGCCACACGCAGGCCCGGCCGGCACTGAGGTACAACAGGCGAGGCAGCTGGGGGCTGCGCTTGTGTGACATGTGTGAAAATGCACTTTGCTGTCACTTGACTCTTTGGCCATTTGGTCCGCTGACAGTCGGTGACGGGCAGTGCCTGGGCGTGCCACCAACTGTGGAATCAAAATACCACCCCTGCCGCCCCTCCCCGGCTTTTGCAATGAAATTTATTTATTTTCGCGTTGCTCCTCTGGCAGTGCAGGGCAGCCAGGGCTGGGCTTAAATTATGTAGATGGCAGCGCGAGTGCATGGCGATGAGCCCGACAAAAGATTACTGTATTGCCAGCCAGCCAACCAGTCAGTTGGCAGCTGGAAAAATGGAAATCGGGAAAATGTTATGCTTTACGTTTAATCTAAAGTGCAAACACATAAATATGAGTCTGTTTGCAGCAAGAGCTCTCGACATGGCCAGCTCCCCCTCGCAACTATTGTGTGACGAAAGCGCTTAACGAACTCATTGCGAATGCTTTATGGCTGTAAAGCTCTGCTGCATGACAGACTTAGGCATGTTTCTATATACTATATATATATATATATATATGCTTGATCAGTAACAGCGAGCGAGTTGAGGTCAGACGTGGCACAAGCTATGCAGCTCAGCTGCTTCAGTCCAGTTGCAGCAGTCAGACGAGGCTAGGCCTGCATATGCTCCAGTCAAATGACGCAGGCTTCACAGCTAGACAGGCCTAAGCTTTACCATGCATATTGAGACATCTTTGGCTTATTTGCATTTATTTATGACATTTTATTAGTGATATTAATGACTAATATTGTTCTTTTTTTTAACTACACAAATGTCATTTATTACGTCTACCAATATGAATATTTTGATTGTCGCATTTGACGAGAAAAACTTCAAAATTATTTGGAACTCACAGAAAATGACTAATTGGTGTGCTTTATGGGCTGGCGAAGTCATTGACTGATATGTGTTTAAAAACGGCGATGGTCATGTCTTTGATGATTCTGAAAATTGAAGTTGCAGATTGCGTCTTGGCGGCTACATGGTCAAAATTATATTTAAATATTAATGTCATAAAATATGCTATCCAACAAGACTTGCTTAAGTCATATTAAAAATATAATTTTATATCTTATTATAATTTAAGCTTATGTAACTCTAAAAAAAACCTCACCTAACTTATGTTTTTGTTACAGCTACTGTTCAGGTTATAGATCTTTTGTTATACTTGAGTAAATTGTCTATATAGCTATAGCAGCCAACTCTTGCTAAGCTATAAACAGTTGAGTATTCTATGGAGTTGAAAGGAACTAGAGTCTGTTCAAAAATTCCAAAGAAAAAGAGCATGGAAATCTGTTAGCCTGATCTAAGCTGCTTAAGCTCTCTTCTCTGCTCTTTATTTCCCTTGTCTTGTCTTCAGCACCTGCCGCTGCTTAGCTCTCAGTATCCTGTACTTTGGAGTTATAAGTTACGGCTTAGGTCCGCTGCAATTTCCATAGATGTCTTGGAGATTCTTGAATAGGTTTTCGTTAATCGGTTTCCAAATATGTTTGCTGATTGAAAGTGAAGAGCTTTCGGAATGCCAATAAGGCTAATTATGCTAGCTTGCTGCCGCACTGCAGCATCATCGACACGTGCATGGGGCATGCCGCATGCAGCATCTTATATTATCTCAGCCATGTGAGTCATTTGGCTGAGAACCTTTTGCAAGTTCAAGTTGCTGGCTGGCTGGCTGGCACGCTTGGGTGGTGCTCGGACCTGATGTGATAGAGTGCCGCGACACTGAGTAATCTATTTTGAGTCCGGGTGTGTGACACATACACACACACACGCACACACACACACACGCATACAGATGCGAAGCACTCACTAATAGTGGCATATAAACTCGCACGTTTTGTGCCACGTTTCTGGCTTCGTGTTGAGCGGGCGAGTTCTGCGTTTGCTTTTGGGCTTCGCTTTTGTTTTTGGCGTTTTTACAACACGGCCAGCATAACAATGTCGCCCAACAACAACAACAACAACAGCAGCAGCAGCAGCAGCAGGCAACGAAAAATTGCAAGTGGACACATGAATTATGTGCAGCACTCGAGTTAAACAACCGGCGGGCGCGTTAGCCAGCTCCCGGCGCCCGGCTCTCAGCTGCCAGTTCCTGGCTCCTGGCACTCAGCTCTCTCGGTTTTTAGCTTTTAGCTTCCAGTTCAGTTCGCAGCACAGCCCACAGCAGCAGCGGCAGCGACAGGCAAACAAAGAGCGACGACGGCTTCCTACTAAATGCACGAGTAGTTGGGAGTTCTTTTTAGCTCTTGTTGTTGTTGTTGTTG